GGGGAGCGACCGTTGGTGGAGGACAATCCGCAGGATTCGCCGAAGAAAAATCAGTATCAGGGTACCGGTTAACCGGTTCCAAAGGGAGTTGATCATGGCCGCTCATTGATCGACCTGGCCCCTCGTTGGTCGACCCGGTCCCTCATTGGTAGACCTGGGTCCCTCATTGGTAGAACTGGTCCCTCGTCGGTCGACCCGGTCTTTCATCGGTCGACCCAGTCCCTCGTTGGTCGACCCGGTCCCTCATCGGTCGACCTGGGTCCCTCGTTGGTTGACCTGGGTCCCTCGTTGGTTGACCTGGGTCCCTCATTGGTCGACCTCGGCCCCTCGGGGTTCAGCGACTCCGGACCAGTTAATACAAGGATCAGACCAGTCGACGCAAGGAATCAGAGCTTCAGGAAAGGATAGAGTAAAGGAGTTAAAAGGATAGGACTATATTAAATACTACTCAATTGCGATCTACGTGGCACGACTCCGTCACCCAAGAAAGACTTGTTCTAAGTTACTCACTGTTCCGGGAAGGGATATATTTTGGCCCCCCGTCGAAGACAGTTGTGTAGCGAAGTTCAAGGGCGAATAGAGCTCCAGGATATATTTGGCCTGTGAGCTCGTTCGAGTAGCAACACCCCCCAAGACCCGCTATCGGAAGCGGTCTCCCTCACCTCAAGGTCCGGGAGCAACGTAAAGGTCAGGTGGTTAATACCCCTGAAACAGAAGGAAAAGGCCAGGGACGACAAGCGCCCCTGAAGAATTTGGCTCTAAGTCCACTCTCGAGAAGGTCGATCGAGTGGCCACCTACCGGCCCACCGAGTGAAGCATATCCACTCGAGGCCCCCCAGGTCTACCTCCCTCAAGGCAGACATCTACATCGTCACCAAGTCCTCCGAAGAGTGCAACCCGCCAGCCGACGGGTACACAAGGTGAGAGAAGGTTCATACGCGGCATCGGGGTACCCCCTCCGACAGTCGGCAGTCCGGCACAGTGAGTGGTTTGGGGTCTCATCATGCAATTTTGAGAACCCACTCCACCACACTGGTGTCGTCTTCGATGATCTGCACCATACCGCATTGCTACACGTCTAAAAATCAGTGGACTATCGTATGTGGGGCAGTCCCATCAAACTTCGGAGGATCCATCCAAATGGGCCATGGCTGATTAGACCGGGCCGAGAGCGTCTCAACAGTTCTGTTGAGCGCCTCATTCCGATCTTGATCACGCAAAAGCTCATCATGAGTCTTATTGATGAACTCACTGTGGCTTGGATGTTTACCTCGGACGAGTTTCTACGCTGTACGAGCACAAACGACTCAAATTGCTCCAACTAAGCAACATGTTGCTCAGGAGGACAATGCAAGAGGTTGACCAGGGCTGTTCACCAAGTCCCTGCACCAAATGCTCTGCCACCTCCCTATGATGTTGGGAGAGGTGAGGAAAATCACCCCAATCCATATTGAGGGACATCCGTGTCCACACGCACGCTCAGAAGGTCGTGGAAAGGACTAATAGTGCTACCAAGTGTAGACGGGAACTTCAAAAGAATCTTCCACGTGCTACGAGCACACACCTTCGGCAGCGTGAGAAGCGGTTAAACCGTCTTACATCCGCGTGCGGTGGTGCTTAAAGCGGAGTACCAACCATTGCCGGTCGCTTTGAAGTGAACCGTGCAACGAACAAGCAACAAGTGTCTCACTTACGTCACGCAGAAGCTTATTCAGCTTCTTGTGCGCAGTGGACGGTAATAAGAAAATTCAAGACTGACTTATATTTAATTGAAATCATTAAATATAACACTAACTACGGATTAGTCAAATGTAAAGAATGGATACGCGTCTCTTTCGAAGCCTATCCTTACGTGTGAGCTTTACATATATAAACTTGCTGATGACGTTTGTCTGTGACGTCATCATGACGCCTAGTTCCTACTGGGCGTCATCCCCGTTAAAAGTGAATTCATATGGATATCACATTCACGAGGGTGGGTCACATTGACGTGCCGCACCCAAGTGGGAGGCACGTATTTTGTAAGACCTCCTCGTTAAGTAACATATACTTAACCAACTTGTTTAACTATTTGCTCGTTACACAACGCCACAAATACGGCTAAATTACTTATAGTTGAGGCATTAACCTGTGGACGGTGTATACCTTTCGCACATCAAGCAAGAATGATATCACGACAGACTTTTAGTATGCAGACAGTCACTCTGTCGTGACGACAGCCATATGGCAATGTGGCTGGCCAAAACCGGCCAAGTTGTCCACGTATTACTATCTACTATTGTAAAAGATAGCAAGTATGGTTTTGAGGCGATATAAGTACTTCAGAAATAATAGTAGTGATATTCACCGGGCTTGCCCTTCCAATTCGATTAAAACGGATTTAAACGGTGACGCACCTAGTACACGGATGACAGTTCAAGCACACCTTGAGGACTTGCCGGTCGTAGGTATCGAACCCGTGACTTCTCGGTCACGATAGTGGTAAACCAGTACACCGCTTAATCCGTTACAGAGATAATTCTAGTATCAAGACACGCTTTAAACATAAAATACAAAGGAAAAATTCGAAACTCGGGATAGGATCAACACTATTATGCTTGAGCTTTAAGGGGGTTTATGTGAATGGAGTTTACAGCGAGTCATTTTCAGACGACCGTGGTCGATTCGTTCAGACGTGCAGATGGTTCTATTCCGTCGAGCATACAAATACTGGTAATAAAAGTTGACGCGCATAGGTTGTTGCCATTCTTGAAGTTATTTTAGCTTAGTCTGGTGTTGTGAAAACAAAGTGAGCTTCACAAGTATGCTGAGATATTCATGCGAGTTGTAAACTAAGACAACAAGTTTTTTGATTTCATTTGAAGACTTTTTGAAAGCACTAGAAAATGGTCTTAAGCTGGAAGAGGAGGTGCACACCCGATGAAAGAAACGAATGCCCAGCATTGAATGCAATAAGAGAACGTACTACCGTGCATTGATGACAACGTGTTTAGGCGGACAAAATCAATGATGACATCGACTATGAGTCACAAATCAGACGCTGTGTATTGCAGCTTAAAGGTTTCACTTCCAGCGGATGCCGTTAGGGTCTTGGTAGAAAGGTCAACACGTCTCGTGCGCCAATGCCTCCTAACGAAAGTTACCGTCGGTCATCTTAAGTTTCATCCATCGAAAAGGAAGCAGTCGTCGGTTGCGTCTCCAGCACCTGCGATATGTCACAAGCACGACTCCTCAATATCGTAAAGTATCTACGAGCGACATCGTGACTTTTTTGATGTCGATCCGACAGTGTTAATTCGATCTTCAAAGCTGTAATAATAATTGGTACATGTAGAAGTGACTTGGTGGATGACACAGTAGCACGATCGCATTTGCGGCTGCTGAGTGTTCGATATACAGAAGAGGCTGCTTACCCTTGCAGAAACATATGATACTGTAGAAGCCCGAGCAGATACGACCGTAGCATTGTCTCGACTCTGCAATTACAACAAAAGATTGTTATCTCTTTTTCAAGCGACTAAGTTCGAAGATGCCATCCCCTAAATGAAACTAAGATTCCAATCCTTTAAAGTTTGGGTTCAACGGTGCTGTTCCATCCCCCTTGAAGAATGGGTTTAACAATGTTAAGCCCGAGCTGACATCAAGCAAGTCAAGCTAACTGCAACCAAGCCCACCACTCTACTACGGCCTTCATCTCCTCCCGCTTTGACCGATGGCGAAGCGATCACCGAAAGCCGTAAAAGGGTCAATCGGAGAAGCAGGTCACGTTTGACTCTACCTGCCTTGACAACATATATCATGTTGGACAGATAGAATGTCACCAAAAATCAGAGCTCTACCCTCATGAGGTGACTTGCTAGATATGACAATGGTAACACGAGTTTTACAGATGCGTCATCTAACGGTTGTCTGCTGGACGGCTATGCCATGATATCCGAAAACCTATTGTACTCTGGGTACTTTGTCACCTCGTGTTGGTGCTACGAAGTGCTCTTTTATGTTTTGACAGAACCTGACAGACAGCTCGTTAGTAGACTACTTTGAAAAAAATACGGAGACAATGTATCTCGCCGTGTCAAATTTTCCAGGAATCTCGAATGATGGAGAACAAGGTCTTATGCACATGTTTAGTGTGCTTAGGCTTGATGGTCTATGCTTCATCGAGCTCCAAAGCGTTGCTGCGACGAGCTCGACCATCATCAACACGCAGACCGATTCTGGTACGAGAAAGCTATCGATTCGATTATAGAAACTACTGAGTTATCATCATCATCTACGACAAGTTAAAACGTACGAACAATTTGTGGAATCTTGGTCGTGGTTTTGCTGCCTTCATTTTCGTACTTTAATAGATGACCTCGGCAGTCTTTGGTGTTTCGATGACCAATCAATCGTACCGAAGATGACGGTCACGACACAACTGAAAAAATGCTCACGTCACGGATTGGTGGGTATTCCTACGTCGTTCGATGGCACGTAGGAGTTTAACTCCCACATGTACGCCTGTATTTTTTGGAAATGACAATTCTGTTTAAATGAAATGGAGTTTACAGCGAGTCATTTTCAGACGACCGTGATCGATTCGTTCAGACGTGCAGATGGTTCTATTCCGTCGAGCATACAAATACTGGTAATAAAAGTTGACGCGCATAGGTTGTTGCCATTCTTGAAGTTATTTTAGCTTAGTCTGGTGTTGTGAAAACAAAGTGAGCTTCACAAGTATGCTGAGATATTCATGCGAGTTGTAAACTAAGACAACAAGTTTTTTGATTTCATTTGAAGACTTTTTGAAAGCACTAGAAAATGGTCTTAAGCTGGAAGAGGAGGTGCACACCCGATGAAAGAAACGAATGCCCAGCATTGAATGCAATAAGAGAACGTACTACCTCATTACCAACAAAGCAGGATTTTTACAACAAATTACTTAGCGTATCTTATGCATGTAGTAGATATGGGTCAATTTACTTATCCCGGGTTTTTGACATCTTCAGCATTAGTTCTTACATCCTCTTGGTGGCTTGGAACTTCTTGACATTGATCTGGGCCTGATTCAGCACACGCTGATAAAGGTCAGGGCGGTAGCCGAGCGGGAACAAGATCTCAAGCAGCACGAACATGGGGGCAGTGATGAATGCCTGGTCCGGACTGTCGAAGAGCGCGGGTTTGCGGTGCTCGAAGATTCCGTGACCAATGAACTGCATGGTCCACGTCGCTGCTTGGATGGCCAGAGCTACGTGCATACTGTGCACGTGTAGGGCGTCAGCGCCTTCCACGACAAAATAGTTGGCGAACAGGAAGCAGAGCAAGACGATGGCGGCCCCCAATGTTCCTGCGAAAATGTCCAGAGCGATGTACCACAGCATGTAGATGCCAGCCGTCACGGCCGAGTAATTGAGCACTACCAGGTGGCCGTAGGGGAGGAAGGACAGGATTGAAGGAGTCTCGGCGAACGGCTGTGTGTGGGCCAGAATAATGAGCCCTGATACGAAAGCGGGCCAGATGCAGGCCAAGTGAATATACTGGTTAATTTTGTTGCTATGGTAGGAAAGGTAGAACGCCACCTGCTTCTCAAGATTAAAGCGGTCGGAGATGAAGCCCATGGTAGATTAGCGCACTTGACTGCAAAAAGCTTAACTTGGTTGATGTTAATTCGAAAGTGTTGAGCTCCAGCTCGGGCTTAACATTGTTAAACCCATTCTTCAAGGGGGATGAAACAACACCGTTGAACCCAAACTTTAAAGGATTGGAATCTTAGTTTCATTTAGGGGATGGCATCTTCGAACTTAGTCGCTTGAAAAAGAGATAACAATCTTTTGTTGTAATTGCAGAGTCGAGACAATGCTACGGTCGTATCTGCTCGGGCTTCTACAGTATCATATGTTTCTGCAAGGGTAAGCAGCCTCTTCTGTATATCGAACACTCAGCAGCCGCAAATGCGATCGTGCTACTGTGTCATCCACCAAGTCACTTCTACATGTACCAATTATTATTACAGCTTTGAAGATCGAATTAACACTGTCGGATCGACATCAAAAAAGTCACGATGTCGCTCGTAGATACTTTACGATATTGAGGAGTCGTGCTTGTGACATATCGCAGGTGCTGGAGACGCAACCGACGACTGCTTCCTTTTCGATGGATGAAACTTAAGATGACCGACGGTAACTTTCGTTAGGAGGCATTGGCGCACGAGACGTGTTGACCTTTCTACCAAGACCCTAACGGCATCCGCTGGAAGTGGAACCTTTAAGCTGCAATACACAGCGTCTGATTTGTGACTCATAGTCGATGTCATCATTGATTTTGTCCGCCTAAACACGTTGTCATCAATGCACGGTAGTACGTTCTCTTATTGCATTCAATGCTGGGCATTCGTTTCTTTCATCGGGTGTGCACCTCCTCTTCCAGCTTAAGACCATTTTCTAGTGCTTTCAAAAAGTCTTCAAATGAAATCAAAAAACTTGTTGTCTTAGTTTACAACTCGCATGAATATCTCAGCATACTTGTGAAGCTCACTTTGTTTTCACAACACCAGACTAAGCTAAAATAACTTCAAGAATGGCAACAACCTATGCGCGTCAACTTTTATTACCAGTATTTGTATGCTCGACGGAATAGAACCATCTGCACGTCTGAACGAATCGACCACGGTCGTCTGAAAATGACTCGCTGTAAACTCCATTCACATAAACCCCCTTAAAGCTCAAGCATAATAGTGTTGATCCTATCCCGAGTTTCGAATTTTTCCTTTGTATTTTATGTTTAAAGCGTGTCTTGATACTAGAATTATCTCTGTAACGGATTAAGCGGTGTACTGGTTTACCACTATCGTGACCGAGAAGTCACGGGTTCGATACCTACGACCGGCAAGTCCTCAAGGTGTGCTTGAACTGTCATCCGTGTACTAGGTGCGTCACCGTTTAAATCCGTTTTAATCGAATTGGAAGGGCAAGCCCGGTGAATATCACTACTATTATTTCTGAAGTACTTATATCGCCTCAAAACCATACTTGCTATCTTTTACAATAGTAGATAGTAATACGTGGACAACTTGGCCGGTTTTGGCCAGCCACATTGCCATATGGCTGTCGTCACGACAGAGTGACTGTCTGCATACTAAAAGTCTGTCGTGATATCATTCTTGCTTGATGTGCGAAAGGTATACACCGTCCACAGGTTAATGCCTCAACTATAAGTAATTTAGCCGTATTTGTGGCGTTGTGTAACGAGCAAATAGTTAAACAAGTTGGTTAAGTATATGTTACTTAACGAGGAGGTCTTACAAAATACGTGCCTCCCACTTGGGTGCGGCACGTCAATGTGACCCACCCTCGTGAATGTGATATCCATATGAATTCACTTTTAACGGGGATGACGCCCAGTAGGAACTAGGCGTCATGATGACGTCACAGACAAACGTCATCAGCAAGTTTATATATGTAAAGCTCACACGTAAGGATAGGCTTCGAAAGAGACGCGTATCCATTCTTTACATTTGACTAATCCGTAGTTAGTGTTATATTTAATGATTTCAATTAAATATAAGTCAGTCTTGAATTTTCTTATTACCGTCCACTGCGCACAAGAAGCTGAATAAGCTTCTGCGTGACGTAAGTGAGACACTTGTTGCTTGTTCGTTGCACGGTTCACTTCAAAGCGACCGGCAATGGTTGGTACTCCGCTTTAAGCACCACCGCACGCGGATGTAAGACGGTTTAACCGCTTCTCACGCTGCCGAAGGTGTGTGCTCGTAGCACGTGGAAGATTCTTTTGAAGTTCCCGTCTACACTTGGTAGCACTATTAGTCCTTTCCACGACCTTCTGAGCGTGCGTGTGGACACGGATGTCCCTCAATATGGATTGGGGTGATTTTCCTCACCTCTCCCAACATCATAGGGAGGTGGCAGAGCATTTGGTGCAGGGACTTGGTGAACAGCCCTGGTCAACCTCTTGCATTGTCCTCCTGAGCAACATGTTGCTTAGTTGGAGCAATTTGAGTCGTTTGTGCTCGTACAGCGTAGAAACTCGTCCGAGGTAAACATCCAAGCCACAGTGAGTTCATCAATAAGACTCATGATGAGCTTTTGCGTGATCAAGATCGGAATGAGGCGCTCAACAGAACTGTTGAGACGCTCTCGGCCCGGTCTAATCAGCCATGGCCCATTTGGATGGATCCTCCGAAGTTTGATGGGACTGCCCCACATACGATAGTCCACTGATTTTTAGACGTGTAGCAATGCGGTATGGCGCAGATCATCGAAGGCGACACCAGTGTGGTGGAGTGGGTTCTCAAAATTGTATGATGAGACCCCAAACCACTCACTGTGCCGGACTGCCGACTGTCGGAGGGGGTACCCCGATGCCGCGTATGAACCTTCTCTCACCTTGTGTACCCGTCGGCTGGCGGGTTGCACTCTTCGGAGGACTTGGTGACGATGTAGATGTCTGCCTTGAGGGAGGTAGACCTGGGGGGGCCTCGAGTGGATATGCTTCACTCGGTGGGCCGGTAGGTGGCCACTCGATCGACCTTGTCGAGAGTGGACTTAGAGCCAAATTCTTCAGGGGCGCTTGTCGTCCCTGGCCTTTTCCTTCTGTTTCAGGGGTATTAACCACCTGACCTTTACGTTGCTCCCGGACCTTGAGGTGAGGGAGACCGCTTCCGATAGCGGGTCTTGGGGGGTGTTGCTACTCGAACGAGCTCACAGGCCAAATATATCCTGGAGCTCTATTCGCCCTTGAACTTCGCTACACAACTGTCTTCGACGGGGGGCCAAAATATATCCCTTCCCGGAACAGTGAGTAACTTAGAACAAGTCCTTCTTGGGTGACGGAGTCGTGCCACGTAGATCGCAAATTGAGTAGTATTTAATATAGTCCTATCCTTTTAACTCCTTTACTCTATCCTTGCCTGAAGCTCTGATTCCTTGCGTCGACTGGTCTGATCCTTGTATTAACTGGTCCGGAGTCGCTGAACCCCGAGGGGCCGAGGTCGACCAATGAGGGACCCAGGTCAACCAATGAGGGACCCAGGTCAACCAACGAGGGACCCAGGTCGACCGATGAGGGACCGGGTCGACCAACGAGGGACTGGGTCGACCGATGAGGGACCGGGTCGACCGACGAGGGACCAGGTCTACCAATGAGGGACCCAGGTCTACCAATGAGGGACCGGGTCGACCAACGAGGGGCCAGGTCGATCAATGAGCGGCCATGATCAACTCCCTTTGGTACCGGTTAACCGGTACCCTGATACTGATTTTTCTTCGGCGGATCCTGCGGATTGTCCTCCACCAACGGTCGCTCCCCTTTTGAGGCCCCTGTCTCTCTGGTCCCCTGTCCCTGACCCACGGCCTATACTCTGAATCCAACTGGAGTCCGGGACCTCCATATCACAAAATTAGCACTTCACCACAGCCGCCCCCTGCACTTGCTCAACCGTGCAACGGATTGAGCACGCGCATGTCTTCACTTCCTTCGTCACGTAGGTCCTTCATTGTCCCCTTTGTAGCCCTCCTCCATTCTCCTATACCCTTAACTCTTGGAAATTCAAGGCCGCCCCGCAGGCGACCCAAGTCTTCCAACGAGGGGCTGGGCCGACCATTGAGGGACTCGGTCCACCTTCCAAGAAACTTGCTACCGCCGGCTAGTTTTCATGGCTTTGCATTACTTCGAAGCGGTTATGGCTTGTGTTCTTGCGCTCGAAGTCCCGGAGTAAGGCTCCGCAATTCAGATCCACTTCGTCCACCCACGAGGGGTCAGGGTGTCCCTTCCATTGCACGAGGAATTCTCGTTGTTGCCTCCCATACCGAGTCTTCTTGCCTGTACGACTCTCTAAAATTTCTTCGACTTCATACTCGCCCTCTTCCAATTCCCGCACCCAGCTGTCTTCTGGTAGCAGACATTCATCGAAGTCGACTCGATCTGTTCCATCCACTTTCAGCTCGCTGTTCGGTCGATCGGGGAACTCTCTGACGGGCTTGAGCTTGGAGATGTGCACGATTGGGAATAGTCTGTATTCTGTACCTCGTAACTCCAGACGTACCGCATGATCTCCAACTAACTCCTGAACTCGGAACGGTCCGTGCCATAGGTGGGCCAATTTTTTGGCATACCCCTCCTTCACTCGGTCCAAGTATAGCCATACCCGGGTCCCTGGCTGAATTTCGTGGCCGACTACCCCTTCATTTTGTGCTTGCACCCGAGCCTGACTAGCCGCCCGTAAATTCTCGTTGACTTGGTCTCTTGCTCGCTGATAGTGACTCTGAATCCGATATCTCCATCTCCGAGGTCCTGAGTCTCGACGTCGAGTGTTCACCACCGGTAACATAGTCTCAAGAGTGGTCCTAGCATCCCATCCATGTACCAGATAGAACGGTGTTTCCTCACGTACTCTGTCTTGAGCCGTATTTAACGCGAACGTTAATCGTTCCGCGTATTCATCCCAGTCTCGCTGTCCCACGTCGGCTACGTACATCTTGAGCGATCTTGTTAGAGTCTGGACCATTCTCTCCGCAGTGCCGTTCGCTTGAGGTCGGTAGGCCATGGTCGCTCTCTGACGTTGACCTACCATACGACTGAACGCTCGGAAGAAGTCCGACAT